TTCATACAGTAGCCTAACGTCCCTATCCATGAGTAAAATATTAATATCAGATTTGTGTATATAGAAGTAATAAGCTTGATACACTATATGAATAAACACACTCTTATTAAAATTAAACCAATTTAATAATAATCTGGATCAAGCCACCAAGTTCTTAAAAGAACTCCAGCACAGACAGAGGAACAAAGAAATACACATTATATAAATGCAGCAGTTTGGCAGGTCTGGACGCAGAATGGGCCACATCAGGTCCTGATTCTGCAGACAGATAAACAAACATGAGCACATCGCTCTCAAACACTGCAGGTTGTTCACCAGTCAGGAGCTGTGAAACAAGAGCACAGCTCTGTTGATAAATAAAAAGTAAAAGTTATGTTGGGTTCTCTGGCTGACCTGGATCAGCTGTTAGCTGTAAGACACCACAGGGCTAACGTTAACGTAGCTACATGGCTGTGTTTTAATGTTTAAATGACTGGGTCGGTTTGTTTTGGAGAGGAGACGACCTTGGAGATAATTCGGCTCCCGGTAGAACTCTGTCAGGGCTCTGAAGTGGAGCGGACCCAGAACAACTCTCATGTAAACACTAGCAGGACTAAAGTTACGGTGCGGCTGTGTTAAAACTATAACTTAGCACAACATCACTGTGCTGTAATAACGGTATGCTTTATTAAATGTCACATAATTAACAAAATAGCTATATAATGTCAGTCCAGTGACAGCCGACCTGCCTCTCATTCTCCGGCGCCAGCAGTCACTCAGCCTGCCGGCGCCCATGTGAGCGGTGAACGAGTACTTCATTCCTGCTCCACAGTAGGAGCTGTCACGTGACAAATGAATGACTCAAACCTGGAGACCCACAGTTGCTGTGAGTCGTGAACTAATCAGTTCTGTTTCCTGGGCTGCCTGCTTACCACAGCCCTGTAGCCGAGCTGTCACGTGACAAATGAACGACTCAAACAGACCCACAATTGAGAGTCGTGAACTAATCACTTCTGTTTCCTGTGCTGACGGGGCCCATGCAGCTGACATGTGACGAGTGAACGTAAGGCTCCAAGATCCTTCACGCATGTGTGAAAATGAACAAATCACTCACTGACACTACCCGTTCCTCCCGAGTCATATACATGATTAGGTCTTATGGACGAAACATTCATTGAACGACACATCACTAGTCAATGAGGCACGACTGCGACTTTCATATCAATTGACCCTTTGCTAAGCCACACGCAGCTGGCCAAGGTCCGAGACTTTCACGGCTGCGCTCCATTGACTCGTATGCAACAGGAGTTGTTTTCTAGCTTTTTTTGCTGTATTTTTCCGAGATATGGTCACAGCTGTTCGTGGGGCACTTTTAACAGTTACAGTCGCTACCCAGAGAGGCTGGAAGTAGAAGTACAATTTATTCACCTTCCAAAACCTAAAACAAATCCAGGAAAATGTAGGCTGTGGAATGTAACGTTAGCTAGTGTTAGCTAACTAACATTACATTAGGAACAACTACTACTACTGAATTTAATGTTATATCGTCCTACTGTTCTGCGTTTTAATGATTGTAATAGTGAACAGAGACCTAAACTAAACATATTTTTAGCAAACACTAAATGCAACTTTGAAAGATCAACATCTTTTCTGCAGCTTAAAGCTCAAATCCACTCTGTAGTTGCACATATGCCGGAGCATTTAGCTCTTAAAGTTGAGTAGGTTGGAAGAAAATTGAGTCTCTGCTCCCCCTGAAACCCATTCATTTTTTTCACATAAAAATATTAATATAAAATCAACCATTACACATATCAGCAATAAAAGTAATGCCATTATCAATCACATAAAGTTTGCTACTGATTTGAGCATGTGCAGCAAAGTTATAACAACTTCCTGTTTCATGGCGCAGAATGGTACATTGCTGCCACACCGTTGTAGGAAAACTCAGAAGCTTTGCAACATAACACTATCAATGTGTTACTTTTCTTTCTGAGTTTTGAAGTAGAGATGGCCAACCTAAAAAATGTGGTTCATCATAGCGCTCCCTATCGCCAATAGGTGGCGCTATGACCATGAGTGAATATGAGCTTGTAAATGTGTTCAGGGCTCTTGTCAAACTTGACAAAAGCTAGCTAGCATTACTGCACTAACATGTTAGAGACGTAAATTGTGCGAGACGAGAGATGTAGTTCATACAAAACTACATGTAACTTTACTGTTTTACAACAAACTGCAACTTTCTTGACGGACAAAGTTATCTTTTAACTTGACAAACATCATATGTGTAAATCAGGGCACAGTTCATACAGGATCAAAAAATAAGTTGTCTCCCGCCACTGACTACCGGAAGCGAGTGACTTAGGGTCTCTATTTGGTAGAGATGTGTGCATGTACACTTAAGTTATAACAAATTCCTGTTTCGTGGCGAATCTTTGATATTCCACGCCACGGGCACCGCCGGTTGGCCAAAACTCAGGACTTTTGAAAACGTTTTTAATAAATAAGGTTTTTCACAGTAAGTCCTGCTGTGAGTCTTTCTGATCTTCTGTGTAAAACGATGTGAACTTTAAGTCATAAATGCAATTTTGACTTCTTTATCTGGGCTTTAATTAGTCATCCTGACTAACGTGAGTGATGTTTTAATTTTCTTTCCATTCAGCTTCTCTGCCTCGGCCAGGACGCGTTCTTCAGATGATCATGACCAACCTGAGGAACCGTCCTCTGAGCAGCACAAGTGATCTCTGTTTTCAACAGCTCCCTATCTACTGGTTGTGTCCCTGATTATTTTAAAACGGCTTGCGTGAACCCACTTTTAAAGAAACCTGGTTTAGATCCCTCCCTCCCACATTTAGACCAATTTCTAAACTGCCTTTTATTGCAAAGATTCTAGAAAGAGTTGTGTCCAAACAGCTGCTCACTGTACTGGAAAATAACAAAATATTTGAAAAGTTTCAGTCTGGTTTTAGGAAGTACCACAGCACTGAGACTGCCCTGCTTAAAGTCACCAATGACCTTTTAATGTCTGCTGGTGAAGGCATGTGCTCAGTCCTAGTACTCCTGGACCTTAGCGCTGCTTTTGACACCATTGATCACAACATCATGTTAGACAGACTGAGGCACTGGGTGGGGATCTCTGGTACGGCCCTAGAATGGTTTTCATCCTACCTGTCAAATAGGAAGTTTTGCGTGTCTGTAAACAACTATGTCTCCTCGTTCTGTCCAGTTAAATATGGTGTGCCTCAGGGGTCGGTCTTAGGACCCATTTTGTTTTCCTTATATATATATTATCCATAAACATGGCATTTCTTTTCATATTTATGCTGATGACACACAAATATACTTGCCCGTCAGATCCACAGACCCTGGAGTGCTGAGTTCACTTAACAACTGCCTTTGTGAAGTTAAAAAATGGATGTCAAATAATTTCCTCCAGCTGAACTCAGACAAAACTGAAATCCTGGTCATCTGGTCCCAGCAGATGGCAAATCAAATACTGCCATCTGCTGGTTCCCTAGTAAATCACATTAAGCCTGTGGCAAAGAACCTTGGTGTTTGGTTTGATAGTAATTTAAATTTCGAGCAGCACACCACAAAGCTTGTTCAATCATGTTTTTATCAACTTAGAAATATAGCAAAAATTCGATCTATGTTAACTTTTAAGGACACCGAGACCATTTTACACGCCTTCATCTCATCACGCCTGGATTATTGCAACAGCCTTTTCACCTGTTTAACCCAAAAATCTACCGATCGATTCCAGACTGTCCAGAACTCAGCTGCCAGGCTTTTAACCAGAACAAAGAAATATGACCACATTACTCCTATTTTAGCTTCATTACACTGGCTCCCAGTATGTTTTAGAATTGACTTTAAAATTCTAAGTCTATTTAAAATTCTCTTCATGGCCTCTCGCCTTGTTATATTTCTGAACTTTTAGTCCCATACACACCAGCACGTACCTTGAGATCCTCGGGCAGAGGTCTGCTGTCTGTTCCAGAGTCTCGACTGAAAACTAAAGGGGACAGAGCGTTTGCTGTCAGGGCCCCGAGGCTCTGGAAGAGCCTGCCCGAGGAAATCAGGTCGGCTGAGTCAGTGAACTCTTTTAAGTCCCTTCTTAAAACATACTTTTATAGGAGAGCCTTTCCCGATCTTATTTGACTTTATTTTATCCCTTTTATTTTATTGTATTTTACTAATTTTATATTTATCTTAAACGTGTATTTTAGTCTTTTAAGGTCTTTTTAGGGACTTTCGTATAACGCCGGGAGGCTCCACTGAAACAAGTAAATAACATAAATGCTAAATAAATGTCAACATTTTCGTTCACCTACATTTTTTATTTTTGTATTCAATGTATTTTCAAAGGACCACAATTCATCTAAGTCTAAGTTACAGTTAAATCCAAAAGTGAGGGCCTATTAGGTCTGAGGGTTTTTCATCCCACAACTGCAGGTTTTTCTTATTTTTGAAGACAGAAATATAGGAAGGATTTAAAATATAGGCCTATCAGACGTTATTCGCTGAATATGATTTGCAGTGTATAATGCCAAGGTAAATCCAGACCAATGACTACCTAGAGAACCTGTCCTTTACGCCATAACCTAACCTTTCAAACCAAGCACAGTTCTGCAGGTTTAAAAATACATGACCATCAGTAAAATAAAGTAAACACATGCCCATTTCTGTACAGCTCTTGACATCTGATTTCTTGTCATATTATTCATAGAGGTAAAAACTATTTAAATGTTTAGAAGAATGATACAAGTATTCAGTTCTTCATTTATGTGTTTGACCTGATGTTGAGAAAAATCATTAACCTTGAACTGACTGAGAAAATAGTACAATGTAAGTTATCACAGCCCTTTGATCATTTATATTGATGTAACCTGTGGGAGAACACGACGATTTTCATGCTGACTTTACTGTTTAAACCAACGTCATCACTCAGATGTGCTATTTTTAATTCATTTGACACTAAATCCCTTATTAAGACCCTTAAAGTACTATTCACACACTTTACCTTGTCCAGTGAATATGTTTTATTTATTAAGGACAAAAAGCAGGTTGAACACAAACATTAATGATGTTCATCATGGGACTACACAGCCACATGTCAGAAGAATAAATTCAGTGTTGATTTTGGTCTTCTTGATGACAGACAGGAAGATGTTCGAGACAATAAACTGTCTGTGATGCTGCTGCAGATGAGGAGACGTCTCGCTCGTCCTCCCTTGAGTTACATAAAAACAGACAAGAGGGAATAAAACTTAATAACTTCAGCAACAAGGTGAACACATGAAGTATTGGTGTTCATTCTGAAAACATCAAGAGAACATAAAATAAATGCACATTTATTAGAAAGGAGGATGAGAGGAAAGATTACGAGGGCAGATAAGAGGGAATAATACTTAATAACTTCAACTATTATAATGAAGAAGAATGAATACATACTTTTCATTTATGCGGTCTCCTTGTCTCATGTCGTCTGGTCTTGGTCTGGACTCACTCTGGACTCAGTCTGGAGTAGTGTCGTTCTCGTTTCCTCTCCTCTCAGTGAAAGACAAATGCAGAAAACTAGTTAATAACTTTAGCAAAAAGGCTGAAGGAGGAGAACTATTGATCACAGTAGGAATTCTGATAACATCAAATAAATGTGCATTTTCCCTTTAAAATGAGCGAGTTCCTGCGATGGACTGGCGACCGATGTCTGCTGGGATTGGCTCCAGCCCCCACGACCCTGTACACAGGATAAGCGGTTGACGATGGATGGATGGAGTTCACAGTTCAGGCTGTCTCCTCTCCTCTCTTCTCTTGTCGGTTCTTGGTCTAGACTTGGTCTGGACTTCGTCCTCGTTTCCTCTCCTCTCTCTAAAATACAAATGGCAGAAAAAAGAATAACAGTTAATAACTTCAGCAATAAGGCTGAAGGAGGAGAACTATTGATCACAGTAGGAATTCTGCTAAAAAAAAAAAAATGTGTATTTACCTTTTTAAATGAGCGAGTTCCTGCGATGGACTGGCAACCTGTTCAGGGTGTGCCCGCCTTTCGCCCGATGTCAGCTGGGATTGGCTCCAGCCCCCGCGACCCTGTACACAGGATAAGCGGTTGACGATGGATGGATGGAGTTCACAGTTCAGGCTGTCTCCTCTTTTCTCTTGTCGGCTCTTGGTCTGGACTCAGTCTGGACTAGTGTTGTCCTCGTCTCCTCTCCTCTCTGTAAAAGACAAATGGCAGATAAGAGACTTCAACTGAGGTAAACCACTAGTCCAACTGGAAGTTGCATATTATTAATGCTAACTTGATAAAATCAAATAAATGTGTATTTACCTTTTCAGTGAGCGAGTTCACAGTTCAGGCTGTCTCCTTTCTTCTCATTGTCTGATCTTGGTCTAGACTTGGTCTGGACTCAGTCTGGACTTGCTTCGTCCTCGTTTCCTCTCCTCTCTCTAAAAGTTAAATGGCAGAAAAAAGAACAAGAGTTAATAACTTCAGCAATAAGGCTGAAGGAGGAGAACTATTGATCACAGTAGGAATTCTGATAAAATAAAATAAATGTGTATTTACCTTTTTAAATGAGCGAGTTCCTGCGATGGACTGGCCACCGATGTCAGCTGGGATTGGCTCCAGCCCCCACGACCCTGTACACAGGATAAGCGGTTGACGATGGATGGATGGAGTTCACAGTTCAGGCTGTCTCCTCTCTTCTCTTGTCGGCTCTTGGTCTTGACTTGATCTGGACTAGTGTTGTCCTTGTTTCCTCTCCTCTCTGTAAAAGACAAATGGCAGAAAAAAGAATAACAGTTAATAACTTCAGCAATGAGGGACACAGTAGATCTATTGATAAATGTAGGAATTCTGATAATAAATAAATGTTTATTTACCTTTTCAGTGAATGAGTTCACAGTTCAGGCTGTCTCCTCTCTTCTCTTGTCGGATCTTGGTCTAGACTTGGTCTAGACTTGGTCTGGACTTCGTCCTCGTTTCCTCTCCTCTCTCTAAAATACAAATGGCAGAAAAAAGAATAACAGTTAATAACTTCAGCAATAAGGCTGAAGGAGGAGAACTATTGATCACAGTAGGAATTCTGATAAAATCAAATAAATGTGCATTTACCTTTTAAAATGAGCGAGTTCACAGTTCATGCTGTCTCCTCTCTTCTCTTGTCGGATCTTGGTCTGGACTAGTGTCGTCCTTGTTTCCTCTCCTCTCTGTAAAAGACAAATGGCAGATAAGAAGAATAACAGTTAATAACTTCAGCAATAAGGCTGAAGGAGGAGAACTATTGATCACAGTAGGAATTCTGATAAAATAAAATAAATGTGCATTTACCTTTTAAAATGAGCGAGTTCACAGTTCATGCTGTCTCCTCTCTTCTCTTGTCGGATCTTGGTCTGGACTAGTGTCGTCCTTGTTTCCTCTCCTCTCTGTAAAAGACAAATGGCAGATAAGAAGAATAACAGTTAATAACTTCAGCAATGAGGGACACAGTAGATCTATTGATAAATGTAGGAATTCTGATAATAAATAAATGTTTATTTACCTTTTCAGTGAGCGAGTTTACAGTTCAGGCTGTCTCCTCTCTTCTCTTGTCGGCTCTTGGTCTAGACTTGGTCTGGACTTCGTCCTCGTTTCCTCTCCTCTCTCTAAAATACAAATGGCAGAAAAAAGAATAACAGTTAATAACTTCAGCAATAAGGCTGAAGGAGGAGAACTAATGATCACAGTAGGAATTCTGATAAAATCAAATAAATGTGCATTTACCTTTTAAAATTAGCGAGTTCCTGCGATGGACTGGCAACCTGTTCAGGGTGTGCCCGCCTTTCGCCCGATGTCAGCTGGGATTGGCTCCAGCCCCCGCGACCCTGTACACAGGATAAGCGGTTGACGATGGATGGATGGAGTTCACAGTTCAGGCTGTCTCCTCTTTCTCTCTTGTCGGATCTTGGTCTGGACTCAGTCTGGACTAGTGTTGTCCTCGTCTCCTCTCCTCTCTGTAAAAGACAAATGGCAGATAAGAGACTTCAACTGAGGTAAACCACTAGTCTAACTGGAAGTTGCATATTATTAATGCTAACTTGATAAAATCAAATAAATGTGTATTTACCTTTTCAGTGAGCGAGTTCACAGTTCAGGCTGTCTCCTCTCTTCTCTTGTCGGATCTTGGTCTGGACCTGATCTGGACTAGTGTTGTCCTTGTTTCCTCTTCTCTCTCTATAAGTCAAATGGCAGATAAGAGACTTCAACTGAGGTAAACCATTAGTCTAACTGGAAGTTGCATATTATTAATGCTAACTTGACTGCGGAGCCCTACACAAGCAAAAACGAACTATTGATCACAGCAGGAATTCTGATAATAACATCAAATAAATGTGTATTTACCTTTTCAGTGAGCGAGTTCACAGTTCAGGCTGTCTCCTTTCTTCTCATTGTCTGATCTTGGTCTAGACTTGGTCTGGACTCAGTCTGGACTTGCTTCGTCCTCGTTTCCTCTCCTCTCTCTAAAAGTTAAATGGCAGAAAAAAGAACAAGAGTTAATAACTTCAGCAATAAGGCTGAAGGAGGAGAACTATTGATCACAGTAGGAATTCTGATAAAATAAAATAAATGTGTATTTACCTTTTTAAATGAGCGAGTTCCTGCGATGGACTGGCCACCGATGTCAGCTGGGATTGGCTCCAGCCCCCACGACCCTGTACACAGGATAAGCGGTTGACGATGGATGGATGGAGTTCACAGTTCAGGCTGTCTCCTCTCTTCTCTTGTCGGCTCTTGGTCTAGACTTGGTCTGGACTTCGTCCTCGTTTCCTCTCCTCTCTCTAAAATACAAATGGCAGAAAAAAGAATAACAGTTAATAACTTCAGCAATAAGGCTGAAGGAGGAGAACTATTGATCACAGTAGGAATTCTGATAAAATAAAATAAATGTGTATTTACCTTTTAAAATGAGCGAGTTCACAGTTCATGCTGTCTCCTCTCTTCTCTTGTCGGATCTTGGTCTGGACTAGTGTCGTCCTTGTTTCCTCTCCTCTCTGTAAAAGACAAATGGCAGATAAGAAGAATAACAGTTAATAACTTCAGCAATGAGGGACACAGTAGATCTATTGATAAATGTAGGAATTCTGATAATAAATAAATGTTTATTTACCTTTTTAAATGAGCGAGTTCACAGCGAGTCTCCACTCCTTTCGTCTTCTTCTTTTTGTTTCCATCCTTCACAAACAGCTCTGTGTTTATTACTTTGTCCACAGCTGGTTGCTGCAGTTGGTTTGGAGAGAAGTGCAGGTGGAATTAATATCTTCCTTCTTTCGATCAAGCTGTTTCTGTCCTCTCCCTCTTCTGTCAGTCTGTTCTTGCTGCTCGTCCTGCCTGTCATTGGTGGATCAGTAGTGTTGTAGGTTTGACTCTGTCCCTGCAGCTGTAATGTCTCTTTCCTCACTCACTGCAATCTGCAGCTTGATCTGAACTGTTGATGAGTCGGCAACAATAAAGCTGGACGTGTTTCTCGCTCAAGAAAACACATTCATCCATAACGGAAGACTCGGAAGAAATTCATCTAAAGTCCTTTTGCTGTCCCCGGCTGCAGGGCAGACTTGTGTCTTGCAAGCGTGGCAAGTGGCAACCTGTGAACTCCCCGAGTTCCCCGTAGTTTCACCACGTCAGACACACAGGCCAGCTCTAAGAAATAAAGAAAGGTGCAAGACGCACCAGTGCAAGACGCACTGAAAACACTGAGCCTGTGTGCTACATCCATGATGAACAAACTATATACATATATACAATATTTACCCCTCAGACAACCACATGTTTCATATGGTGCAGGGGCCCCGGTGCAAGACGCTACCAGGGGCCTGACAAGCCCTGCCAAAAGCAAAGGCCAGCCCTGAGGAGTAAAAACTAAAGGTCTTTCATGCCACCCTGCCAGCAAGACGATAAAAAGTCAGTCACACTCTCAGGCGTTTCTTTGGTCGAGTGCTGCTCTCTTCCTCAGTGCCCTTCCTCTTCTTCCTCAGAGTCCGTGCACAATACGTGGACTCTCTGGTGAACTGGCAGAGGACGGACATGAGAATGCGACCGTCTCCGCTGTAGTCACTCACTCTCCAGCGGTTGGTCACCTCGGTGCCTTCAAAGCGGGACCCAGTGGAGATGACTCTGGTCACAGTCTCGCCATCAAACTCCATCCGTCGGACACAGTTCCTGGGGTCGGCCCTCAGGGCCCCCAGCTCCGTCCTCTCAGGATGAGCTGCAGTCAGTATATTAGGAGCTGAAGAGCTCAAGCCTGCAGTGGGAACCAAAATACCAGCTGGTTCGTCCGTTAAAGAGGGTGTGGTGTTCTCCCTCTCCTCCTGGTCCACGGGGACGAAGGGTGTGGCCGTCTGACGTGTCCGTAAGGACCCCTTGAATGGAATCAAAGGGAAGTCCTTGGAGCCTGTGATGAGGTGGTGGTACATGCTCAGGATGGACTCCCTCATGGAGGCGACACTTGTGCTGCTCAGAGGACGGTTCCTCAGGTTGGTCACGATCATCTGAAGAACGCGTCCTGGCCGAGGCAGAGCAGCTGAATGGAAAGAAAAGAAAAACATCACTCACGTTAGTCAGGAAGCCCAGATTAAGAAGTCAAAATAGCATTTATGACTTAAAGTTCACATCGTTTTACACAGAAGATCATAAAGACTATGATTATTTATGTTGTTCAAGCTCAGCATGAATAATGTGAAGACTGTACAACACAACATTAAACAACTTTGGATCCAACTAACATCTTTTAAATATTAAAAAGTTTTTCAAAGGTCCTGCTGTTAGATCATGACACTTGGTGGAAGTTACATTTGAATGAAATACAATTTCAGTTCTTCACATGGACTGAAGTCTGTCTCTCTTACAATAACATGTAAAATATGGTGTCTGTTTCATTTCTATTCTTGTATTTAATGAAATTAAAATCAGAAAAGATGAAAATGCAACTTTCACTGTGAGTGAAAACTATTTGTTAGCTTCATTTAATCAAAGTGTAAGCAGCTTAAATTTTCTCGAGCATATTTAAAAACACACATGTTGACTGGTGTGCTGCGTAGAGATTTAAATCTTTCCCACAATAAACTTTTCCAGAAAAGTTAGTCTACTTGTTTCTTGACTTAAGAAAAAAATCCAGAGTCGAATGCTGCTGCAACATAATGTTAAAATAGTTTTCCAGGACAAAACAAGATTTCCCAGGACATTATTTTACTGTTTGTTCTCTTTTGCATGTGTTTTTCATTACTGGAAAATTGGTCAAATGTTTTCCAGGTTTTCCAGGACAGGTGTGTATATTACTACAAAGACGTCAAAGTGCCAAAGATGATATTTTGATCATGTAGTGAGCACAAGGAAAGCTGAGTATTTATTATTCAATGAGTTGGTAAAAATAAAAACTCCTTGAAGGTTGTAGGCTAACTTTTCCATAAACTTATGGACCAAACATCCCTGGACACCTGCATCTGCAGTGTTTACATGCCGACTCAGAATCATAAACAAACAACAGGTTGACCACACTGACGTCAGACGTCTGCCTGTGACTAGTTGTAATATTTGATGTCGTTTCCATGGCGCCTGCAACATACACAACTTTTAGCGCTTTTTAAAAAATGGCGCGGTCGCGATCTTTGTCTTTAAATTAACCTGGACAACCCCCTAAAAATAATTAGCAAGTTTTATAAATCACTATAAATTGTTTCATCTGCCTCGTGCTCTCTCAGTAAAATCCATCGTGTTAATTAATTATTGTAATGCCGAGATAACAAGTTTAATGTAGGTTTAGTAGGCTATTTTAATGCTGTTCTGGCCAAATATTTTCAAACAACATTACAGAACTTATATTTATATTGATAAATATTGTATTAATTTATGATTTAACGTAGTATATTTTGTTGTGTTTAATCATGATATAGATGTGGTCTAATGTGTTTTACCATAGCGGTCATCCAGCAAACGGACGATGCCTAAAGTCAGCAGTTGTTCCTCACGGCAGAAACCACTGGAGACCATTTTTTTCCTCACTGCAACAGCTGCTTTCTCACTTCCAGATGTTCAGCAGAGATCTTTTCTTTAATGTCTGTCACCTTTCAACAAGTTAGCACTTTTTCCACAGGTGAAGAGTTTCACTTGTCAAAGGTCAGCAGCTCCTGTCAGCGTTCAGGTGCAGAAAGAAGTTCGAACTTTGACCTCCGCCTTTATAGGGCCCGCGCAACGCGTCAGTCCTCATCACCATGACGACCACAAATTCACTGCTGTATTACAATAAATAATTTATTTTGAATTCATGATTTGACGGTTCTTTAATAGTCATTAACTGTCTTGTAGACTATAGTCCGAAAAATAATTGCCAACTGTTTTGATAGGCTAATGATGAACCGTTTCAGACATTACAAATGCCAAACATTTGATCATTTTCTTTGTTGTAAGTCAGCAAACGAGTGAATACCTTGAAAGACATGAAAGAATTGGCAGATGTCGTCTTGGGCTGTGAGACTGTGTGATGGACATTTAGTCACTTTCTGACATTGATCAGGCACACAGCCTACAGCCTATGTTAGGGGTATATTTTTCCCAAATATCACCCGAATTCGAATTTCTATCAGACACACATTATTATTATTTTCTTTTGTATTAACGCACAAACACAACTTCATGAAATGTATGAAATTAATTGTCCTTATGTCATTTATATGTAGCTTTGGCAATATTGTTGCTGTACATTCATGCCAATAAAGCTACTTTGAATTTGATATTTCTGCTCTCTTTGTAGGCTATTTATTTCAATAAAATGTAATTATTTTACAAGGTACAAGGTTGTTTATTTGTCATTATACAGCACAAGGCTGCATTTTTTGAATTTGCATGGGGTGAATGTAAACAGCAGTAACCAGATGATAGTATGAAAGTTTCATCTTCACAATACAACAATGCAACAGTCTGACATTTGGGAAACAGATTCCATCTTGACTGAGGCCTACACAGTTACACTTCCACCAACACTTCAGTGCACACCTCAATAAACATCTTGCTAAAATAAACATATCAGCTTTAATCACGGAGTTTTTATTGTGAAAAAACAATACAATAAAATACTACTATCCAATGAAAATGATAAAGAAGACATAGAAATACTCCATTACAAGTGAAAGTTCTGTATTTGGATTTTACCTCAAACAAATGTATTGAAGTATTAAAGTAAAAGTACTGATTATGCAGAATGTGCCCTTTCATTTTGTTATATTATTGTGTATATCATATCATTGCTGAAGACAAATCCAGTTTTTGAGTACTTGATGGATGTAGTTATTTTCCACCACAGAAATGACACAATTCTGGATCTGTTGACTTTCAACACTAGAGGGAGGCATTAAAAAATGCCAACTGCAGACAAACAACCCAGAAAAGGGTGATTTTTGTATATGTTTATTTTTCCAGGATGTAATTTGAGATGTGTTGGTGGAAATGTAATTGTGTATAAGTGGTGCTGTACAACCCGTGACCACTTTATTAGGTACAACTGTACAGGGTTTTATATGCTGCCACTGATGGTCTTGATGAGTAGCAGCTGTGAGTGATCAGCAGGAAGCCAGGAGAGAGACAACAGCATACACACACAAAACACAGAGAGACATACTATAGACAAAGACTGAATCCCAATTTCCACAGCCGGATCTTGAGCTAATGTGCGATGGATTACAACTGAAGCACAATATAAAATCAAACAATAAGGGACTTGTAGTGCAGGTTTTTATACTTAATCTTGGAGGAAGGAAGGAAAGAATGAAAAAAAATCTTTCCTTGATTCTTTCACTCCTTCCTTGATTCCTTGAATCCTTCCTTCCCTGATTCCTTCATTCCCTCCTTAATTGCATCCTTCCTTGATTCCTACCTTTCTTCTTGCCTTTATTCTTTCCTTGATTCCTTCACTCCTTCCTTCCTTCATTCCCTCCTTGATTCCTTGATTAAAAGAATGGAAAGAAGGAATAAATAAATTCCTTCCTTGATTCCTTCATTCCCTCCTTGATTCCTTGATTCCTTCCTTCCCTGATTCCTTCATTCCCTCCTTAATTGCATCCTTCCTTGATTCCTACCTTTCTTCTTGCCTTTATTCTTTCCTTGATTCCTTCACTCCTTCCTTCCTTCATTCCCTCCTTGATTCCTTGATTAAAAGAATGGAAAGAAGGAATAAATAAATTCCTTCCTTGATTCCTTCATTCCCTCCTTGATTCCTTCCTTCCCTGATTCCTTCATTCCCTCCTTAATTGCATCTTTCCTTGATTCCTACCTTTCTTCTTGCCTTTATTCTTTCCTTGATTCTTTCATTCCCTCCTTGATTCCTACCTTCATTCCTTCCTTTTTCCCTTCAAAGCACCAACAGGGGGTCCTCAACGACCAAACATCGCTGGCACACCACTGTTTAGCTTGTAAATATATTTTATTTGAGGTCCAGTCCACTGTTGTCAAATAAATATATAGAGCGATCAACTATTTTAAGTTATAACTGGTACCAAACATTGATTGCATTTAGAAAGACTAACAAAATACAAATTTAAAAACGACCACTGCAAGTCAGTGGGAACTGAACACCACACAGGTGAAAGCAAGTTGAAAGCAATTATCACTCCTGCTGGACGTAGGATTCAAACCTGGGTCTGATTAAAAAGACCTGGTTGGGAAACCAACACTCTAACCTCATTTGTTACGTTCAGCCTCCTGGCTGAACCCCAGTGAACAGAAGTTAGGACCCAAATGCAGACACTGAGACGGAAGCATTGGTGAGGTTTATTGCAAAAAATATAGAAACTTAAGGCCCATTTATACTCCTGCGTAGGGTCTACGCGTTGACTTTTGCCGACCGAGCAGGCTAACTTCCGGTTTCATAAATAATAACGGTAACATAAATGTGGGTAAAACTGTAAACGTGTGGGTGGTGTTTTGATAGCGAAACGAGTCATTTTGCTCAGGTTGCGATGGTCAAATATATTGATTTACTGTGCCGTTTTGGCCGCTAGTAAATGTTACTTCAAAGCGTGGGCTACTTCCGGTCGGCTCGGAGGCATTGCGAGGCTACCCAGCCGACCAATCACAGATCTTACGGTCCGTAGTTACATTTTTGAGGTGCACGTCAGGCGACGGCGTAGCCTCTGCCTAGCCTCTGCGTAGCCCCGTAGCCTACGCCATCGATTTGACACAGAAGTATAAATTGCACTTTACAGGTGGTTATGTGTCAGCAGTCCAAAAGTACTAAGCACTCAAATCCAAAGGTCCAACAAAAGTATAAATCCACAATGGCACGAGAAACGCTGGAGATACAAAACAACAAAATCCACAGATACATCCAAAGGAAACATCTGAAACGAACTGCCAACGAGTGAAAGACAGACAACCACTAAAATACACAGGTGAGTGAGAAACTAATTACACACAGGTGAAACCACTAAGACAATCAAGGCCAGGCAGGAAGTAAAACAAGACAAGAGACACTAGGGCAGACAAACTACAAACTAAAACAAGAAAGTAAAGCTAACTGAAACACTCAAGGAACAATGTCACAAAATGAAACATAACACAGACAACATAAGTGACTTGTTGAAAAAACCTACAGATGTAAAGAACATAGAAACTGTGAAACAAGATTAGAAAACACTAATGACCTCATAAGTAAACCTGACTAATAAACAAATGACCAAAGTAACACATACTACAGCGAAGAGCAAACACAAGGGCAGGGAATAAACAGAAACAAACACAAAACACACCTAACCAACCCAAAGCTATACAGACAACTGAGGAAGTCGCAATTTGATCATTTGTTGGTAGAAACATGCATTTGCTTAAAAAAAGCTTTTCAGCTATCGTTTTGGTGTTTTTAGTTAGTTTAGCTTGAGTAGCTGAGATAAAAATATACGTCATGTGTCCACACAAACAGGAAGGATGATTGAAGAGTTTGTAACAGAGGGGAGAACTCAGCTTGCATTTACAACAGGAGTCAATGAGACACGACTGTGACTTACAATTGACCCTTTGCCCAGCCACACCTCGAATACGCAGCTGGCCAAGGTCCGACACTTTCACGGCTGCGCGCCATTGACTCGTATGCAACATTGCCCTACTGAATTTAATGTTATATCGCCCTACTGTTCTGCGTTTTAATGATTGTAATAGTGAACAGAGACCTAAACTAAACATATTTTTAGCAAACACTAAATGCAACTTTGAAAGATCAACATCTTTTCTGCAGCTTAAAGCTCAAATGCAGTCTGTAGCTGCACATATGCCGGAGCATTTAGCTCTTAAAGTTGAGTAGGTTGGAAGAAAATTGAGTCTCTGCTCCCCCTGAAACCCATTCATTTTTTTCACATAAAAATATTAATATAAAATCAACCATTACACATATCAGCAATAAAAGTAATGCCATTATCAATCACATAAAGTTTGCTACTGATTTGAGCATGTGCAGCAAGTTATAACAACTTCCTGTTTCATGGCGCAGAATGGTACATTGCTGCCACACCGTTGTAGGAAAACTCAGAAGCTTTGCAACATAACACTATCAATGTGTTACTTTTCTTTCTGAGTTTTGAAGTAGAGATGGCCAACCTAAAAAATGTGGTTCATCATAACGCTCCCTATCGCCAATAGGTGGCGCTATGACCATGAGTGAATATGAGCTTGTAAATGTGTTCAGGGCTCTTGTCAAACTTGACAAAAGCTAGCTAGCATTACTGCGCTAACATGTTAGAGACGTAACAAATTCCTGTTTCATGGCGAATCATTGATATTCCACGCCACGGGCACCGCCGGTTGGCCAAAACTCAGGACTTTTGAAAACGTTTTTAATAAATAAGGTTTTTCACAGTAAGTCCTGCTGTGAGTCTTTCTGATCTTCTGTGTAAAACGATGTGAACTTTAAGTCATAAATGCAATTTTGACTTCTTTATCTGGGCTTTAATTAGTCATCCTGACTAACGTGAGTGATGTTTTAATTTTCTTTCCATTCAGCTTCTCTGCCTCGGCCAGGACGCGTTCTTCAGATGATCATGACCAACCTGAGGAACCGTCCTCTGAGCAGCACAAGTGTCGCCTCCATGAGGGAGTCCAGAAATTAAAAGTTATATCTTGGAATGATTACCTCATCGCAAAACAATAAAGCTATTAAAACTGTGAAATGATATTTCTATAATTATAATCTCTATTTGTGTTTCTGTATTTATACTCCTAATTAAACAACCCATGACTGCAGAGACATATTGTGGTTCCAGGTATTCCAAAGACTTCTATTCCTGTCATCATCACGCATAGACCAGTAATCTCAATATGATTGTTTTAGTCAACCGAGGGTCAGTGGTCGTGGTGGTGGGCTAGTGAGCGTGTATAGGAAAAATGTTAAATGTCATCAAGTACGCTGTGATGAATTTAACTCCTTTGAAGTTCTCAATCTTAAACTTGGAGGGCTGCAACCTATCATATTTGTTATAATTTATCAGCCCCCAAAACCGCCTGGAGGATTTTTATCAGAACTTCCTGAATTTTTATCTACTCTGGTTTTAAATTATGACAGAATTGTTCTTTGTGGCGATTTTAATATTCATGTTGATGACCCCACCAATGTTAATGCAACTGACTTTTTAAATACGGCCACTTCTTTTAACTTCAAACAACATGTCAAAGGGCAAACACATAACCATGGTCATAAACTGGACTTGGTTTTTACCCTGGGTGTCAGCATTTCCTCTGTGGAATTAGTGGACATGACCATATCTGACCACAGATGTATTGTTTTTAGCTGCGATGTTACTCATGCCGCCTCACCAAGCTCTGTGTGTTCTCGCTTCTTTAATGAACAAAGTGTTTCAAAGTTTTGCACATTCTTTCAGAGCCAAAGCCAACACCTGTCTGATTCCAACACCAACAATCTGGTCGATCACTTCAATCATATCTGTTTGTCGTCACTAAATATTACTGCTCCTCTAAAGGTCAGACCTACATCTAAAGCTAGTAAGCAACCCTGGATAAATGACAGCATTCGCAGCCTAAAAAGGGAATGCAGGAAAGCAGAGAGCAGATGGAAAAAATCCAGTCTCCAAGTCCATTACCTCAGTCTGAAGGATTTATTAATTAACTACAATAACTTGGTTAAGGATGCGAGAACACACTATTTTTCTGAACTCATTACTACAGATAAACACAACCCCAGGTTTCTGTTTAAGACTGTGGATCAGCTGGTAAACCCAACCCCTCCTTGTGCCTCAGCTGGAAGTAATGATGACTGTGAATTGTTTTTATCTTATTTTACCAATAAGGTGGTGTCAATCAGAGCCTCTATTACCCCCGCGGCCTCTTACTCAGAGGTTCCTCACCAGCAACAAGAGAGTTTTAACCAGTTTTATCCCATCAACTTGTCTGAGCTTTTAAAAACAGTATCACAAATGAGAGTGTCCTCCAGCCCACTTGATGTAATACCTACAAAGTTTTTACTGAAAGTAATAGATTCTGTTGGGCCCCATTTGATCTCTGTTTTCAACAGCTCCCTATCTACTGGTTGTGTCCCTGATTATTTTAAAACGGCTTGCGTGAACCCACTTTTAAAGAAACCTGGTTTAGATCCCTCCCTCCCACATTTAGACCAATTTCTAAACTGCCTTTTATTGCAAAGATTCTAGAAAGAATTGTGTCTAAACAGCTGCTCACTGTACTGGAAAATAACAAATTATTTGAAAAGTTTCAGTCTGGTTTTAGGAAGTATCACAGCACTGAGACTGCCCTGCTTAAAGTCACCAATGACCTTTTAATGTCTGCTGATGAAGGCATGTGCTCAGTCCTAGTACTCCTGGACCTTAGCGCTGCTTTTGACACCATTGATCACAACATCATGTTAGACAGACTGAGGCACTGGGTGGGGATCTCTGGTACGGCCCTAGAATGGTTTTCATCCTACCTGTCAAATAGGAAGTTTTGCGTGTCTGTAAACAACTATGTCTCCTCGTTCTGTCCAGTTAAATATGGTGTGCCTCAGGGGTCGGTCTTAGGACCCATTTTGTTTTCCTTGTATCTACTTTCCCTTGGATATATTATCCATAAACATGGCATTTCTTTTCATATTTATGCTGATGACACACAAATATACTTGCCCGTCTGATCCACAGACCCTGGAGTGCTGAGTTCACTTAACAACTGCCTTTGTGAAGTTAAAAAATGGATGTCAAATAATTTCCTCCAGCTGAACTCAGACAAAACTGAAATCCTGGTCATCTGGTCCCAGCAGATGGCAAATCAATACTGCCATCTGCTGGTTCCCTAGTAAATCACATTAAGCCTGTGGCAAAGAACCTTGGTGTTTGGTTTGATAGTAATTTAAATTTCGAGCAGCACACCACAAAGCTTGTTCAATCATGTTTTTATCAACTTAGAAATATAGCAAAAATTCGATCTATGTTAACTTTTAAGGACACCGAGACCATTTTACACGCCTTCATCTCATCACGCCTGGATTATTGCAACAGCCTTTTCACCTGTTTAACCCAAAAATCTACTGATCGATTCCAGACTGTCCAGAACTCAGCTGCCAGGCTTTTAACCAGAACAAAGAAATATGACCACATTACTCCTATTTCAGCTTCATTACACTGGCTCCCAGTATGTTTTAGAATTGACTTTAAAATTCTATTGATTACTTTTAAAGCTCTTCATGGCCTCTCGCCTTGTTATATTTCTGAACTTTTAGTCCCATACACACCAGCACGTACCTTGAGATCCTCGGGCAGAGGTCTGCTGTCTGTTCCAGAGTCTCGACTGAAAACTAAAGGGGACAGAGCGTTTGCTGTCAGGGCCCCGAGGCTCTGGAAGAGCCTGCCCGAGGAAATCAGGTCGGCTGAGTCAGTGAACTCTTTTAAGTCCCTTCTTAAAACATACTTTTATAGGAGAGCCTTTCCCGATCTTATTTGACTTTATTTTATCCCTTTTATTTTATTGTATTTTACTAATTTTATATTTATCTTAAATGTGTATTTTAGTCTTTTAAGGTCTTTTAGGGACTTTCGTATAACGCCGGGAGGCTCCACTGAAACAAGTAAATAACATAAATGCTAAATAAATGTCAACATTTTCGTTCACCTACATTTTTTATTTTTGTATTCAATGTATTTTCAAAGGACCACAATTCATCTAAGTCTAAGTTACAGTTACATCCAAAAGTGAGGGCCTATTAGGTCTGAGGGTTTTTCATCCCACAACTGCAGGTTTTTCTTATTTTTGAAGACAGAAATATAGGAAGGATTCAAAATATAGGCCTATCAGACGTTATTCGCTGAATATGATTTGCAGTGTATAATGCCAAGGTAAATCCAGACCAATGACTACCTAGAGAACCTGTCCTTTACGCCATAACCTAACCTTTCAAACCAAGCACAGTTCTGCAGGTTTAAAAATACATGACCATCAGTAAAATAAAGTAAACACATGCCCATTTCTGTACAGCTCTTGACGTCTGATTTCTTGTCATATTATTCATAGAGGTAAAAACTATTTAAATGTTTAGAAGAATGATACAAGTATTCAGTTCTTCATTTATGTGTTTGACCTGATGTTGAGAAAAATCATTAACCTTGAACTGACTGAGAAAATAGTACAATGTAAGTTATCACAGCCCTTTGATCATTTATATTGATGTAACCTGTGGGAGAACACGACGATTTTCATGCTGACTTTACTGTTTAAACCAACTTCATCACTCAGATGTGCTATTTTTAATTCATTTGACACTAAATCCCTCATTAAGACCCTTAAAGTACTATTCACACACTTTACCTTGTCCAGTGAATATGTTTTATTTATTAAGGACAAAAAGCAGGTTGAACACAAACATTAATGATGTTCATCATGGGACTACACAGCCACATGTCAGAAGAATAAATTCAGTGTTGATTTTGGTCTTCTTGATGACAGACAGGAAGATGTTCGAGACAATAAACTGTCTGTGATGCTGCTGCAGATGAGGAGACGTCTCGCTCGTCCTCCCTTGAGTTACATAAAAACAGACAAGAGGGAATAAAACTTAATGACTTCAGCAACAAGGTGAACACATGAAGTATTGGTGTTCATTCTGAAAACATCAAGAGAACATAAAATAAATGCACATTTATTAGAAAGGAGGATGAGAGGAAAGATTACAAGGGCAGATAAGAGGGAATAACACTTAATAACTTCAACTATTATAATGAAGAAGAATGAATACATACTTTTCATTTATGCGGTCTCCTTGTCTCATGTCGTCTGGTCTTGGTCTGGACTCACTCTGGACTCAGTCTGGAGTAGTGTCGTCCTCGTTTCCTCTCCTCTCAGTGAAAGACAAATGCAGAAAAAAGAATAACAGTTAATAACTTTAGCAAAAAGGCTGAAGGAGGAGAACTATTGATCATAGTAGGAATTCTGATAACATCAAATAAATGTGCATTTTCCCTTTAAAATGAGCGAGTTCACAGTTCAGGCTGTCTCCTCTCTTCTCTTGTCGATCTTGGTCTGGACTCAGTCTGGACTAGTGTTGTCCTCGTCTCCTCTCCTCTCTGTAAAAGACAAATGGCAGATAAGAGACTTCAACTGAGGTAAACCACTAGTCCAACTGGAAGTTGCATATTATTAATGCTAACTTGATAAAATCAAATAAATGTGTATTTACCTTTTCAGTGAGCGAGTTCACAGTTCAGGCTGTCTCCTTTCTTCTCATTGTCTGATCTTGGTCTAGACTTGGTCTGGACTCAGTCTGGACTTGCTTCGTCCTCGTTTCCTCTCCTCTCTCTAAAAGTTAAATGGCAGAAAAAAGAACAAGAGTTAATAACTTCAGCAATAAGGCTGAAGGAGGAACTATGATCACGTAGGAATTCTGATAAAATAAAATAATGTGTATTTACCTTTTAAATGAGCGAGTTCCTGCGATGGACTGGCGACCGATGCAGCTGGGATTGGCTCCAGCCCCCGCGACCCTGTACACAGGATAAGCGGTTGACGATGGATGGATGGAGTTCACAGTTCAGGCTGTCTCTCTCTTCTTGTCGGCTCTTGGTCTTGACTTGATCTGGACTAGTGTTGTCCTTGTTTCCTCTCCTCTCTGTAAAAGACAAATGGCAGAAAAAAGAATAACAGTTAATAACTTCAGCAATGAGGGACACAGTAG